GCAATAATTCCACCGAAAATAATAACGATAAAACTGCTCGACAAAATTCTCATTTATCTTGTGTTAAATTGATTTAGTAGAGTATTTTTTTACACTTATTTCTCTCCTGTTCACAATTAGACATAAATAATAGAGAATAACTACTGAATTTTTAACATGAGATTTTCTATTCATTATAAAAAACTTTGAAAATAAATTATTTTGGAGAAAGACTCCATGTAACAAGCTGCTGTTAGCAAAATGTTTAAATTTATTATTTTTATTATTTTTTAAAAGAATTAATTTATTATAATTTTCAGAAGGAAATTCAACGGTTACAAAAAGTCGGATCCAATAAGATAAATTCCAATCTCAGTTTCAGAGCCAGCAGAAAAAAGATACTTGCATAAGAACCAACTAAAATTTCCCATTTTAACAAAATCATTGTCGATCAGTGTAATCGAAACGACTCGCGGGAAAAGCGAAATACAGGAATGATACATCATTATCTCGAAGATTCTGGATTACATCCTCAACTGTTCTATTTCCCCGGAACGTGACGCATAACACGGTGACTCTGCCAAAAATGATACGATACGGTAATCGAAATTCCTTGTTTCGCGGAAAACGAGAAATAAGCATAATGCATTGTCACCCTCATCTCGAAAAGATTCCGAATTACATCTTTAACTGTTCTATTTCCTCGCGATGTGACGCATAACGCGGTGTTTACTGCTGCCTTCTCCTCGTGTTTCGCGAACACGAATTATTCGACGTAAAGTTGAGTGATAGAGTCGCGGAATTAATGAGTCATTCCCGAACTACAGAAAAACAAACGAGTTGCGTAACGGCGTATATTAAATAACGAGCATACGTCACGCGCGCCGCGCCGATGTGAGTCCGATTTCCATATCAGGATTCTAGAAATCTTCTTTGTGTCGTTTCGAGTCCTCGAGATGATCTTGGTACACGTTTCGCCCGATCGAGAGGGGTATTTCCTCGTGTCGGTAAATTTATCGGAGTCATGGCGACGCCGAATTGTTTGCTCGCGATTGTTAAATTAATGTAAACGAACGCAGGGAGCGCTTTCCTTCCCACATAATACGTTTCATCCGAGAGACGTTCTGGAAACGTCCTCAGGATGGATCTTCTTGAGGATGTTCTTGAAACATAGAGATGTCTTCAGCAAGTTTTAATAATTTAGGCATCAGTGTGTTTGAGCTAAATTATTTTAATGGTCCAACACGATCCAATTATTTGAATAATCCAACGAAATTTATTTATAGATTTGTATCTATCTAAATTCTTAGATATTTCAGCAAAACCACGCGGTATTCAATCATTTATTTGAAATATTAAAAGCACTGAACATTAATTAACCCCGATTACAGCAACAGGCCATTTGGACTTGAAGAGAAAATTTTTGGATGATCGTAGAGAATCTATACGATTAGTTTTATGAGGTACTACGAGGTTCTGCGAATCGTAGATAAAAAAGAACTTTCCTCTATCAGTCGCCATAAGGCGGAAGCTCGTTTGCATCCTGCACTTCAGGCAAGACGGTTTAGAAGTTACAAGATGTGTAGTTTTCGTAGTTGAGGGTTAAAACGAGCAATCAATTACTGTCCTTCGTATTAAATTGGCCGGTATTAGATTTCCGTAAGACGAGCGCGCCGCGAGCACACCAGCAAGTCAGGGATCTCTTCCGCGGAGAGTAAACCTCCTCTCTACGGCAACGGAGGCTCGACTTTCATTAACGCGTCGCACACGCGCGTCTTACGACGAGCGCGTAGCGCACGCTTCCGCGGAAATGAGCGCGGCTTACATAACGCGCGTCATTAATACATCCGTCACGCGAAATGCTTTATCGTTTGTATGAAAATGTAAAGGAGCTAAAGTTTATCAATAGTTGCATAACTATACGTGCGCGAGCGGCATTTTACTGCCAAGATCTTATTTCCCGCGTCAACTATGATTTGATAGCGTAATATGTGGCTGATTCTGATTGTGAGTAGAAATCCGGTACAGGAAGAATTACGAAGCGGTTAGAAAAGTGTACAATTAATTGTGAGATACCTACTTACGTAAAATATATGCCGTAATGTAAAATATAATAAGCTTTTACAGAAATCCAATTCTGGTCAATTTAATACTGAAGGATAGTAATTAATTACTTATTTGAAGTATCGAAAGCACTGTTCAGTACTTTTAGCATTCAAATAAGTAATAGATTATCGTCTTTCGATAACGAATTAACCGCAGTATTACATTTTTGTAAAGATAATCAAATAAAATTTTAACTTGCTTTTTTCTTCGTTGTTGGGCCGTTGTGATATTATCGTAGGAACTTTCGGACAGTTCGATATCTCGTATTGTTTTCACAAAGTCGGACTTGTGAAGTGATTAATTATCGGTAGTTGACACTCAACGTATCTATTAAGACGACTAAAATATTTCCGCATGTGGAACACGTCAATTTACGCAACAACACTTATCTCGTCTAAAAGTGGATTTCTTACGGACTACATAGAAGGAACGGTTTCGCTGAAGTATCTAAAAATTTAGCGAGATATGGATCTGAAAATAATTATGTAGGACGCTAAATTGATAATTACAATAGAATGTTGAAACACACACACACACTTCGACATTATTATCAAGCTACAAGAAACGTAGTACTAGTTTAAGCGTTCTACATTACTGTTCTGACAAATTTTGACGGAGTTATCTTTAGAAAAATTTAGCTCAATCTCAAAATAATTATTTTGGACCATCAAAAACTTTTCGCAGCACTGCTCATCTGAATTTTCTATAGAATTGTTTTGTCTAACAAAATTATTTTCATTTGTATTTAGCTAAATTTTTAGATATTCAACAAAATCGGTTTTTTTTAATGCGGCTATAAATCTGCAAATAATTTTGTTAGACTATAAAATAATTTAGATGCTTCGTATTACTTTTTGTCCTACTTTTTGCAGCTTTGATGATAATGCTTTAAAAAATTTTAACATTTTAGCAACCAATTTAAACGTCCCACATGATTATTTTCAGATCTGCATCTTGTTAAATTTTTAGATATTTTACAAACCGTTCTTTTCGTGTAGATATAGATCTGAAAATAATTTTGTTACACTATAAAATAATTATGTAGAACACTCGAATATTTATGTACTACTTTTTGTAACTTAATGGTAATGCTGTCAAAAGGTCTAACATTCTCTAGCAATTAATTTAAGCGTTCTACATTTTCAAATCTGTATAAAATCTGCTAAAGTTTCAGCCAGCAAAACCGTTCATGTACGATAGTAAATCATCACAGTTAGCTTATCATAGAGCGATTTTTCCGATCGACGACAATTTATCTGAGAGACAGATACGCGCAGGAAAAAAAGAACGTCTTTCTTCACAATCGTAATTAATATGTTAACGATAATGTTTTCGGGCCGCACCGGGACTTGTGCAATAAATATCGAAGGTCGGGCAAACGTACGATGTTTTCCGCCGTTGTGACGATGCGACATCCCGAACACGTGGTAGCGGCTCGTTAAACGCACGTGCGCGGTTGCGTAACCATTTCCGTGCATCCGTCGGCCGTTCGGATTAAGGCTTACGTATTACGTGAAGGCGATGCGCCGGCCGGAGTATTTTCATCCACGATCGTGGGTTAAAAATAAACGCGCGATCGCGCGAGACGACACGCTCGTACCTACCTCGTGGCTCCGCCTAATCGCAAACCGATATTAAATCGACGATGTGGACAACCTGATTACATAAGCTGACGTCATCTCCAATGAAATTTGTAGAATCTTGTGCTGCTCCCGAAGGAGCAGCCGTTAATTGACCGATTGATCTGTGCAGAACTCTATCGACGTCTTTGAGTTTAAATTCGTCGCAGATTAGAAAAATTAACGAGATCCAGTTTTATAGAATATCGAGCGTTGTGTAACAACGCGAGTAACGACGTGCATTACCTATTTGTTTCTTTAATCGACAGTCAGAGGTGCGAAGCGAGAACGACTCGGGTTCACTGACATCTTCGACCTTGGCGAACGCGACCTTACGCAAGGCTGTTTTGCAACTTTGGACGAGAGAAGTGCGTCCGTTGGCAGTGCGAGTGTCCCTCGGTCTCTCGGAATTCTTTATCTTTGACTACTCTCTGTCTTTATCTCTCTTGTACTTCGACGTCGGAAGTGGCTGCATAAATCAATCTGTATTAAGACTAAAAAGAATAGAAGAGATTCGATGAATAGCAATTTTTCTTCTGATTTAGTCAAAGAGAGTCCCCAGTGAGAAATGACAATGGAATTGGCGTTGAATCGACATTGATTCGATGTCACGGTTCCCATCGTCATTTCTCATTGGATCTATTTCCGAAGTAATTTAAAAATAATGGAAATTACACGCTTCCCAGCGGAAAATCCAGTCGACATTAAGAGTAACGTAACATTAAAATGTATGCGGTCTACAGTAATGTGAAATGTAAATCTTTATAGAAATGCTGAAAGAGAAAGTAATTAATTATTTATTTTAAGTACATATAAAAGCACTGTGTTGCTCAATACTTTTTGTGCTTTGAATAAATAATGACATACAATTTTTCAGTTAATCGATATTAGATTTCTGGAAAAGAAGAAAGTGGAGTAGATAGATTTATTTACGTTCTTCGCAAAATTTTTTTCTAAAGATGATTTGAAAGTTTCTGAGGAAATTCTTGAAGAATTATGCGGTTCTTAATTTTTATTTGTCAAAAAATGACTTTGAACACAGTTTGATAACAAGCCTTTTAATCAACGATTCTCCCTTTTATTTGACACGTACAACCACGATATGTAACCAGTCCTCTCTCTGACGTATGTACTATATAATATTATCGTTGTCGTCATTTGGCACGCTATACAAGTTTCGTCATCGCCATTAATAAACACGTCGCGCACGCGAGTTGACCTACGAATTAAAAATTCCACGCGGCGATATCTTCATCTCGCTCGATTAAACTGATTGACCGACCCTTTTTGTTCCAGATGTACTAAGAAGACAAATTATGGTGGCAGAGTTTGTCTCCCGCCAGAGTGGATCGCCCATCAATGGTGAGACCGCGTGTCTGAACAGCAACATGCCGGCCACGCACACAATGGCCCACAGTGGTGGTCACGGTGCGCCCCACGGCGGACCCCACGACGCCCACGGACCCCTCACGGTGCCTCTCACGCATCCCGGCCATCACGGCGGACCTCCATCTGCGATTCAGCAGCAGCATCAGCACCAACCGCAACAGCAGCCACCACCACAGCAGCAGCAGCCACAACCGCACCATCACCACCACCACCAAGCCCAGCAGCCGCAGCAGCAACAGCAGCAGCAGCAGCAGCAGCAGCAGCAGCAGCAGCAGCAGCAGCAGCAGCAGCACCATCATCATGATGCGGCGCAGGTAACGACGCATCCCGAGAACTACCCGTCCAATTTCGACCTACGAAAGGAGTTATTCTCGCAGCGTAAGCAGCGCGAGTTCATCCCCGACAACAAGAAGGACGACAGCTACTGGGACCGTCGCAGACGCAACAACGAGGCAGCCAAGCGGTCACGTGAGAAGCGTCGCTTCAACGACATGGTCCTGGAACAGCGGGTGATGGAGCTCAGCAAGGAGAACCATATCCTCAAGGCGCAGCTGGAGGCAATACGCGACAAGTTCGGTATCTGCGGTGAGTCTGTCATCAGCACGGAGCACGTGCTGGCCGCGCTGCCCGCGGAGCCTACAATCAGCGTGAAGCGTGCGAAGATACCCCCGTCGGCGGCGCTTCTTTACGCGCGCTCTCCCAGCCCAGTGCACACGTCGGTGATCCATCAGCCGGTGAGCGGCGCCCGTTCGCCCAGATCGCCGGCCCAGCTCTACGTGCCCGAGACGACCGCTTACCCAGAGACCGAGAGCTTCCAGTATCCGTACTCGCACCCGGCGATGCACCACCTGGACACCACGAGCGCGCTGAACCTGTCGTCGCGTGGCCGCCGGGCGCAGTCACCGTTCGAGCTGTCGTCTGGTAGCGGCGACGAGGCCGGTCCCCAGCTGGTTGTGGGCTCCCAGAATAACCCAGCCGCCAACAACAGTCTGCCCCATAAACTCAGGCACAAGTCGCGTATCGGTGACAAAGACGCCGCGAGCGCGCTGCTCGCACTTCAGGGTATCAAGCAGGAACCTGGACCGCGAGCGTCGCCACCCTGGGACGAGGGTTCCAGCGACGAGCGCGACTCTGGCATCTCGTTAGGCGCCGAGTGGACCGGTCCGACCGTCACCGCGGTCTCGGAGAGCGATCGGGAGGTGAAGATGAAGCTGGACCGCCTTGCATCCGAGGTCGCGTCTCTGCAATCGATATTCCGCCTTGGGAAGCCCGTCGCAGCAGCGGCGGCAGCCGCGGCGGCAGACGGCCTGGTGACGGGTCACTCCGCTGCCGCCACGGTCAGCGGACCGTGAAGGACACGGTCCCCCTTCTTTTGCGGGTCACTACGAGTCCTCCTCACTCTGGCCGGATGCCGGAGTCCCTGGGAAATTGGACGTGGAGCCCTCGTTTGGAGGACGCGTGGGAAGGACAAGAGTCTTGAACCGTCGAGTTTGATCGCACCAAGCTGGACATCGCGTATTCGCGAACGAGCGTAAAGGATTCTGTTAAAGAATTCGCGCGAGTATTTAAAGGATGAAAAGCGTGCGAAAGGTTTTAACGATACCGGTGCAACGGAAGCAGATGCATAGCGATCGCTTTGAAATAACATAGAATACTCACGAGTCTCTCGTGAATGATTCGCGATTACCGATTGCTATCTGATCTGCTTGTTGCATGAGGGTTATCGATAACTGGAAGTTGCAACAAGAGACGCTCTCGTCTCGTTGCGTCCACGGAAAACTTTAATCCTTCAACCCGTAGATTATACCTCCGAGGGTTCCTCTTTGATGAAATTTATAACTTATTGTGATATGCGAGAGACCGTTTAGACGCCGTTTTGAAAACAAGTCCTACTCTTAGGTAGACTTGACGGCTACCGGTCGAAGGGTTAAAGGCGTTCTCCACATGGAAAGAACGGTTTTATTGGAGCATCTAAAAATTTAATTATTTTTACGGATTTAAAAATCATTTTATTGGACTATCAAAATAATATATGTTGGACGTTCAAGCATGATGAACAATATTACTAAAAATTTGGCATTCTATAATAATCATTTTGATTGTCCTACATTAAAAAAAATATTTCAATTTTTACACAAATCATTTGTTTAAATAATACCAACAAAATATTTATTAAATATAAAAATAAATTTATTTGGTAGAAAAATCATTAATTTGATTTAACAATCTTTTTTTATTGAATAAATATTTATTTACTATAAATAAATGTTCAGTTGGCACTATTCAAATAAATATTAAAATTTAGTACACGTTCATTTCTCTGTATATATATAGTTATTTTAATTATTAACAAAATTATTTGCAGATCTATATTTAGCTAAACTTTTATAGGTCCTTCAGTGAAACTGTTCTTTCAGTGCACTTTTGGGTCCCGAAGCGAAGTGGAGTTAAGAGTTAAGAGCCGATGCGATACCTTGTAGCGCTATAAGTTACGTTGTAAGACTCCCGTAGGCTAATCGTTCTTCTATTATTACCATTATCGTTAACTAGAGAGCTTTGTCGATTCGGGCAGACGAGTTGGGCCGAGCGCAATCGGCGCGATCAGGTGAACGAAGGTACCGCGATCTGTATTAAACGGAGCATTATTACACGCGAGTTTTCTCCCCCGATTGATGATTGGTCGCGCAACCGGCTATCTCACTACCATCAGATATTCATAATACGATTCATTCCCGCGTACGAAGCAGGGATTACTTCTTCCTACTCTTCCTTTTATTTTCTCTTCGCATCATCGTTACCATCATCATCGTCATCATCATCATCTTTCTTCGATTCTGTTGGAGCTTCGAGGCGTAGCTTTAATTCGCATCCTCATTTATTTATTCGCCAAAACTCGACCGAACTTTTGTGATTAATCTTATACACCTACACGGTTGTTGTTGAATATCGGGAACCTTCAGGAAGCGATGTCTACCTTGCTCGAAACCTCAGAAATTCGGTTCACCGGTACATTCATTCCGAATTTGCTTTTTTATTTATTGCCTCTTCCGTCGCATCTCGAGAGCCGCGCCGAAACCTGGACGAAGCTCCGCGCGAGTCCTTTTTTTTTTTCTTTTATTCTTCGTTTCCTCGAACCAGATCCGAATCACGCTGGTCGATCCGGACTTGACTGCGGATGGAGTCGCGAGGCAGCGTCTCTTCTGTGTTTCACGACGTCAGATCTTCTCGCGACCTTTGCACAACTATCCGTTGTCTCCTTTCTTTTTTTTTTATACTTTTGCTATCGAATCCAAACGCTACGGTCGGCGTAGTGGCGAGTGTCTGTATATATGTATATGTAAAGAAAACGAAAGTGCATCTGTGTTACAAAACGCCGGACGAGAAACGCTAACTTAGATGTATATGTACATACAATTGCCGCGGAAAGTCCTCTCGGAAGGCGGAATTTAGTGCGTATTGAAGTATTAAGTGAGCCTATAGGTGTATGTAATATATATTTACATAGCGTATACTTGCAAGAAATATATATATATATATATACTTTACGCATATATATATTTTTTTCAAATTAATGTATTTTTCGATATCATTGAAAACGAGCTGTAACGTATGTGTAGTGCTCGAGTATGCCGTCGCCGATTCGTAGGTGCGAGGGGGGATTGTGTAACAGTGAGACCGGTCGAAATTGAAGTTGCGTTATCGGCTCGGATCACCGAGTCCACCGATCGGAACCAAAGGGTGATTTTTCCCGAAATCGCGAGGAGAGAATGAGAAAATAATTATCCGACGATAATGAAACGAAGTCGGCGACGTGAAGAAAGAACCAGCGATACTTTGCTGATCATTGTTCCCCGAATCGATCAACCATACGTTTTTACCATATGTGATACGTTAGAGCGATAGAGGCGCGAATCGACGTTAACCCAAGAGCAACCATAAAGCAGCCCTTAGACGATCAATATTATTGTTCAATTATTTTGCAATATTATTGTACGACGGTCTTATTCTCTTTAGCTTAAGTTTTTTGCACGATTCATCTTTCTTCCATTTCTCTTCACGTTGGAGAACAATGGAGGAAAGGGATGAACCGGGCAAAAAACTAAACAAAACAGGCCGTTAATAATATCATTGATGCCTTCTTTAAACAATTTGAAACAAACAATCTAGGATATTCAATATAGATCGATAACAGTTGCTTTCGATTTTCACACAAGTGATGACTGAGTCTATGAAGTTATGTATTTTATACTCAAGATGACGTCATTACTTGCTTACTTTGGTAACAAAGTTGTCGCGTAACAACACAGATTTATAAACTTTATTTTTAATGTAAGTTAACAAGACTCAGTATAGCACACAACTTGTGCAGATTGTAGATAAGAACTCAGTTAAGTCTCACCTATCACAGAATGAAAAGGAACGTGCATTCAACTGAGTTATGACGTCACAAATGAGAATTATATACGAGTTTTGGTAAAAAAGCAACTATGAGATATTGTGTAATATTTCATTGTGTAACAATATTGATTGCCTAAGGGCCGCTTAATAGCGAAAAGGCATCTCTATTTATTGTACACTAATCGCCTATGTTATATGGCGGAGCGTGCGACGACGACGAGGAGGAAACTGAAGCCAGGAAATCGATGGCATTTCGGAATCCCCTCTCGCGGACAGGATCTCGTCATTACTCCTCTTGCCCCCATATTTTTTTCACAATTTCCCCACGGGCGTGAATGTTCCATATTTCGTATGGTATGCTTGTAAATTCCGCGGCCGACGTCGAGGCCTTTACAAAAATTCAATTAATATTTACTGAAAGACAATGATTATTTACTTATTTTGAGTATTAAAAGCATCGTTGTTCAGTACTTAATAAGTAATTAATCACTACACCTTCCGGTATTATATTTCTATAAGAAGGGGCTCGACTGAGCGGACAAAGTGGAAACGTAAGATCATCGAAGTTGATTAGCGTATTCAGATACGACCGTAAATAGCAATAAATCGTTCCGAATCGTCGTCGCTGAGCTCCGATATCTTGTGAAGGACGATGTTTGCCAGCAACATCGCAGTCGCGTCGCTGTAAAATACCGAGAGTGCCTGTTTGTAACGACGAAGTCATGTGCGTTTCTCGACCGCGAAAGATACGGGGATGCTGCACCGTGTAAATACGTTGTCTTCTATTGTTAACTAACGAGCGCCCGCGATTCCCGCGATCAACGACGAGGTCTCGACGCGATTTCAGATTTAACACACTCTCTAAATTCTTTGTAATGGAACCTCACTCGAGAGAATGAAAATTAAACCAATCTTAAAAAAGAGTGGCTCAATTTTTTTCAATCTTTATGAGTGACATTTCACTCTTCAGAGTGAGATTCGCTTTAAAAATTTTAGAGAATACATAGATCCAAATATATACACACATACAACACACAAACACACACAGAAATACATCCCGAATACTCGCGCACTTTTGCCTCGCTCGCCTCGAACGATTACGATAATGCGACGCGATCGCGAGAGAGCCGACACGTTACAAACAATTTGTAAATATACAATCGCACCTTTTTGCCAAAAAGCAGTTACGAGAACCGCCGGAGCGTCGGCCGGAGAAGGAACGACACTCTTATCCCCTTTCTGCCCCGCTCCCTCTTTCCTCTTCCACTTCTACTCAATTGTGCCCCCCGCGAAATCGTTTCGCACGCGTTTCGACTACAGTTCCTATGCACTATACTAACGGTAAAGCGACTTAGAGGCGAGGATCGATGACCCGTCGTCCGATTTACGATTTAAAAAAAACCAGCCGTAATTCCAACCAATCGAATAAGCTTGGTTTTCCTTTCTCCGGCGCTGCTCGGAGATGTAAGTATTTAGATTCTAAGGGACATATCCACAGCGCGTGTAGTGTACTTGTATATGAATACCGATAAATAAATATTTTCAATGTTTTTGACACAAAGCCCCTCTCCTGATTCTTTGACTTCCTGGTGCCTGCCTCCCTTTCGTCACCTCTTCAGTTCGACAAAGAAGAAATGCCATATTACGCTTTTACAATAAGTTATATATATATATTTCATACGCAATATAGTTCAGAAAAGAGGGACAAAATATACCTCTGAAAAAAGTAAGCATAAATATCTACTTTAGATAATTAAATACTACACATCTGATTATACAAGGAATATAAAAAATATATATATATATGTATACATTGTCATTGTAAAGTAGTTTGTACAGAATGATAAAAAGTAATGGTAGCATTCGAGTTAAAATCAGTCCTATGATCTAAAAAATACATTGCTAAAAAAAACTAAAAATATCGAGCTAACAATAAGTCGTTGATTTTGATACT